ATAAATTCTATGCCACATTGCATACCAACAAATATATACATATGTACGTACATACACATGCATATATGCAATTTTGTAATGCTTAGTATCCAAGTTTTTGGTCTTTCTTGTTTTGGTGTTTACACATTTTCTTTAAGACGTGCGCTCATGCGTGTACTTATTGTTTACAAATATTGCTCCAATTCAATTAAAATTCATATGACGTAATTGGTAAGCAACAGATAGTGCGCCGCACTACTGTAGGATAGGTTATGAAGTTAACTTTAATATATATACATTTAACTATATATATGTATGTATTTACCTATACACATGGAATATACATTTATAAGTACATATGTATGTATGTATGTTGTCACATACACATTTTAATTAATTTTTTTATATGTACATTTGTATGTATGTAAATGCTCCACACTTCCCTCTTATAGTTTTTTGCACAATATTATTCAAGATATTAATTCAGTACACGATCAATAAGTTTACACAGTTTAATTTTTACTAAAGAAGGGGTTATTACATCATTATTTCGCGAAAAAAATTGTGTAACTCAATTATTACTCAGATTCATCGATCATTAAAATAATTAATTGCGTAATAATACAAGCCAATAATATTTGTCGTGGTTTTAGAATTTTGTGGTTAGATCAGCAGTTATTAATGCGACGATCAGCGTAGCAAGCTGCGTCGAATTAGCCATGTCTGTCTGTCGCAAACTAATATCTTATGCTCATTTGTCGGGATCGCCGATATCGAAGCATTATCGGATATAGCTGCCTTACAAACTAATCGAACGAAAACTATTTTGTTTCACAAGATATCCTCACGAAACTTGGCATTGTCTAATCCAATGCTACAATCTCCGAACATACATATTGTTCAGATCGGACCAATATAGCTTATAGCTGCCATACAAGCTAACCGATCAAAATCACGATAAATTAAATTCCTTATTAAGTAACCTTAATTCTACCAGAATATTGTTTATATTAAACAAAGTGGCTAGAAAGCAACAATTTCCGTTGAACACAAACCATTGGCCGGTTACGTTTTCAAATTTAGTTATACCTCTAGCAATGGGGATTTAGACAGCTCGTGGCAACCATGTTTGCTTACGGATTTGTGTCCAATTTTGTCAGTGTCTTCAGTAAGGTTTGCCATTTACTCATGTTGCGTTTCACTTTGGTACAACGCTTGGAATTTTTCTAAGATTATTACGCAAATTCACGTTCAACGGTGGCTAATGTAAGAGCTCTTCGCGCAAAACACATTTCACCCAATAACATCTCATTGATCTTAAAAGGCTCTTAACTTTAATTTTAGTTCTTTCACGCCACTTGAAAATGAAATATATTTCGTTACTGCAAGCGTCTTTCAGCTGCAATTTATTATTAATTTTATCAATACAAGTAGAACTGCTAATGAATTCTTTCTCCAGCCAACAACTGAAAATCAAATTAAACTTATCAAATATGTTAGATCTTCTCACTTGTGTATGTGTATGTTTACCCACATGACTGCTGACTGCGAAGAGATCAATTTCGTTTGTCATTTGATGCACGTCATTGATTTTTATGCGATTTATGCAAATTTCGTTGGAGTTACAGCCCACGCTTGAGATTCTTCGAAAGCTTTATGATATAATATTTTCAAATAAACAACTTACAAGAAATATTTTATTTATTACGTGTCTTTTTGTAGCCGTTGAAAATGACGTGATCCATGCCACGAGCATGATTGAGCTACCTAGGCAGTCAGGTCTTACACCCACGCAAAGCGTGAAGTTTCAACTAATTTAGTGGTTTTGCTCAGTCAACTATTATTTGTTTATCATATTCAGTTGTTTTCTGAATGATTGGTTGTTAACACATTGTTTTGTGCATTTGTTGTATATTATTTTAGTGAAGATTTCCTCACAACTAAGAAAACGCAATAAAGCAAGAAATCAGCCAAAAAAGTTTAAAATTTATCATTGTGATCATTGTGCTATAGATGATGTTACCCCACAGCCTGTAAAAGAGTCTTATTGCATATCCGATTAGCACTACCTGCGTTAAGACTACTTTCCCCAATTTTGTATTCCACAAAAGATTTATGATCCCGAAAAAACCTCTGATATATGATGATCTATACATTTTTGATATATATAAAAATTATTTACTCGATGGATGGCTCTGGCGCTCTTACACGATCTCGAGAACACGATAACACAGCCATGGCGGCAATGTCAAGGTTCATACCTGTTTGGGAGAAATTTTTTCATGCTTTGTAATCATAAATGAGAAAAGTAGCTGTGACTCTATCCCTGCTTGACGAAGTTTTGCTACTTATTCGATATTTTTTCGAGCTTCTCACATTTGGGATGCTCGTCTTCATGTTATCCGACGAATACAGGATTACAGAATTTTTAATCTGCCATAAAATACAGATGGATTTTATGAGAAGCTACAACACCGTATCGGTAATTGAGGTTTTTCTGTAATTTTTTTTGCTTCGACCTGAATTTAAACCATCGACCTTCAATTGCTGAGATATACAAATGTTAAAACTAAACAAAGTAATAATAAGCCCATTAAGGCACCGATTTCAATTGCTGCCGAATTGTAGCTCCGGAAGGTAGCATCTTTTAAAAAATATGCCTAAATCTTTTAAGTAAACATTTCGATTAATTAAAATTATATACAAATTCAGATACACACACATATATTTAAGTTATGCAGAATCCACATTGCGTAAAATCTTCAAGAATATTCAAATAAAAAATCGTATACACAAATAATTAAAAAACAAAAATATAAACTTACATAATTCACTCTAATTTACATGTATAAACGAAAATGCTCCAAATCTAAATGTAAATCAGAACTAACAAATATGTATTTGTATACATTATTTTAATTAAAAATGGATATGTAGAAATGTGGGTGAGTATTATGAGAAGGTCTGACATGACGCTAGCCAGCTGGAAAAATATCACAGCCCAGTGTGAATTTCTAAGCGACCCAGCGACAGCAGCCACAATGCGGCTAAAAAACCTTGTAACAGATATCAAGTGTATAGATGTATATAGTATACATATATAAATGCACTGCAAACAAATATAATAGCACCTTAGTTTAATTCTAATGTGTTTACTCAAGAACGAAAGAAGTAGAGATTACGACAGTTTTTCTAGACACATTGTGCCATGACGAATACGAAATGAGGTGTGTATATTTGGACTTATTGTGAAAGTTGAACAGTTTATGTTGCTTCCTCCAATTCTAGCATTTAATTCTGTAAGTATGCAATATAAATACTTCTCTCAAGTTACCACTAATTTTAATACTCCATGCTTCCCGCCTTGATCCAAATCGAATAAAAATCACATTAACCAATATTCAAGCACAGTAATTTTCTGAATCTTAGGTTAATATAATATTTTTTAATCAGACGAAATCGCAATAAAGAAGTAAGATTGAATTAATTCGGCAAAAGTGATGTGTAAGAAAATAATAGCCGAGAGTTCTTTATAGGGGAAAAAGAAACAGAAAATAAGGAGTAACATTGGCTTCGGAAGATGGTGAAAAACTTTCTAAAAATTTAAAAACATCCATATTATTTGAAAAGTACGAATAGTCTACAAACTTCCATATTGCCTCCCAAATTATTTAATTTTGGAAGCATTGACGTATCTTTAAATCTGTTTTCATACAATTTATATAATTGTCGAGTTGTCCCCAGAGGGTATTTATTTAATATTTTCTTTTATATTTTTTGTTCATTGGCTTTTTTTTGCAATCAGCTCGTTTGAACGGCCTAAGCAATTGGCGTCGGTGGCAATTAGTTCATTAACTCACTAGCGTCTAGCTGGGTCTGGCGGTGTTGTCTGGACAAATGTTGTTAGTGTTGGCACCATTAATTTGTTTTTTGCTTTTTTTGCTAATTGTATTTATACGATAAGCAGCCGCCAGCTAAATTGACCAGATGCACGATAAATCAGTTGCAAAAAAAAAATGTTACATAGATTTTGCGAACTACAAGCGGATCTGCGCAGCTGTTATCTAGAGCGCGCCCGATCGATAAAACCACGCATCTTTATTTGTACTTAACTTTACTATAAATGTGTATATGTTGTTGTAAATATATGTATATCCATCTATGAGTGCGTGCTTAATTTATGGCATGGTTTGTTTGGACCGCATATCGGCTATACAGTCTGATCTTCTGCTTACTATTTTCTTTTTGTTTTTACTTGATCTGCTCAGCTTATTAAGTGCGTTAATTCTGATTTGCGCATTAATGTTGCTAAGGTGTGGCCGTCACAAAGCTGTCCACACCTCACTTCTGCGGTGTCTAAATGAAAAATAAATAAAAAGTGTTGGGTGGAGTTGTGCAGACTGTAAATAAATCTTCTTTTAGTAAATATGTAAAAATCTCTAATCATAACAGCGAAACCTATCCAACAAGAAATAGTTCGAGTGTATTTGTGACAAGAACAGGCTTAGGTTGACAAAAAACTGTAGGACTCGCTACTTCTAAGATAAACTCTAGACACACGTAAGAAAATTGTTCTGTGCATATCTCCCATAGAATCGCCGAATCACACGTAATCAAAAAGCAGTAAATGCTATTCACAATCTTTCAACAGATCGCGTTAATGCGCTTCTATAGTGTAGCCGCTCAATTGAATTAGGCTCATCATTTTATCTTGAAACTCGAAGCAGCATTTTTCGAAATTTGCTGCAGTGATATATGCAAAGACATATGAGCTATGATATGAGCCGATCACGATTAAATGATCTGAGTCTAAGTTTTTTATCCAAACTGACTATTGAAATTTGGCAGACCCAAAACGACCAAAAATTTTGGAGTTTTTTTAGTGCCATCGAAGATTGCGTGTAATTTTAATAATATTTAATTTTAATTTTTAACATATTTTTGTCAGCAATCTCTAGATTATTATATTTTTATTATGTTGGCTTTTTGACCCAGCGATTGTAAAATTTCGACCATTGGTGTTTGTTGATAATGAAAAAGCAATTATATATATATTTATTAAATAAAATTCAAATGAAATTTTTACTGCTATACTACGTATATATAAGTACATATTTGTTCATAAGTATTCAATACAAGTATATATATTGTTGTACATATTTTACTTTCTCATAGCGCTTGATCGCTTTCAAAGTCATGCACTTGACTGCAAATCATCTGAAAAGTCAACTGCCTTGTATAAATATATTTGTGTAAGCAATTACTATATTGTTTTTTTGTTTTTTCCAACAAGTTGTTGTATTTTTATATTTTTTAATTTGTTGGAATTAAAATAAACTTGTGAACATAAGCGTTTAGCTCGTCTTCATTGCTCGCCATCACTAAAGACTGTCTTACGTTGTAGCGCTTGACGTTCCGTGTATTTTACTATATATCCAAAAAACAGTTAGGGGAATGCATCAGCGCTGATCTTATGCAAATACAAACACCAATACTCGGAAATATTCGTACGCCTTTGGGCACTACCAGCGGTGACATGTTGCGCGTTTAGTTTGAATTTTTTGTCTTCTATAAATACCAACAAACATTGCGAGCGAAAAATATTACTAAGGAGACAATTTGATAAATTTGTGTACTTTAAATTAAGAGAAAAAATGTCGATACAAACCCTTTTTTTATAGCTACAGGATAGAAGGTTAATAAATTTGATCAAATATATTGTCATCGAGTTGCTACTTTAACTTAAGATAGTGGGCTTAGTCGCCAGATGCGAGTATGATGGCTATATTACGTCAGATAGATTTTTATGCTAATATCCGTCGAAGAAAGGTCTCTTAAACTTTTGTGACGTACCTATCCGGAGCAGTTTTTGTTGTATTGTATAAAGCTACAAATTTGTCGGAACCATGTACTAGTATAAAGTCACCATACAAACTGATCGATCAAGATCAAATTTTTGTATGGAAAACTTTTTTATTGGACAAGATATTTTCACGAAACTTGCCATAAATTATTGTCAAAGGCAGCGCTACAATCCCCAAACAAATTGTTTAGATCAATCCACTATAGCATATATCTGGTATTCAAACTGACCTATCAAAATCAAGATAAAGAAGGATGTTATAGCTTCAGTGCGTTTCAGTAACTTAAAAATTTTATGTTTTTTCCTCCTGTCAATGTTTGTCAAATACAATAACGCCGTAGCTTGTTGTTGAAATTGTCAAATAAAACAAATTTTATTGTACCTGTGATTTTAAGAGCCCTCTCGAAAGGAATTCTGTTAAAAATCCTGATGATAATTCAGAAATGAATTTTTCCAAACTACCCGCGTCTACTTTAAGATTTTGTAGTTGACAGGCGCGGTTTTGCATTAAAATTGTCGCTGACTTATCCCGCTATCTTCGTTAAGCAATGTCGCATAAGACACTTACCCGCTTCAGGCGAATGACAAGTAATTGAAAGCGTGAATTTGATATTGACTTAATCGAATTTTGAACGTGGCAATCAACAGTCAGTGAAACTAGTAAAACTGTGCATCCAAGAACAACAAACAAAGCGGCGTTTTGCCATTAAATTGTTGTTTATTATTCAGTCTCAACGAACGGATACAGTTAATTGGGTGATATTTAATATTAATAGCTCGACCTGTGTTGTCTAATAGCCGACGAATGCTGTGCAAATAATATAATTTGTTATTGCACATACTGTATACTTGGGTATATACCATTTTTATATTTAATAAAAATACTGACGTCACGTCGTTTTTTTTTTTTGTATAACATATTTGCAGTCTTTTCATTTAAAGAAAACTTGCTTTTATCTGCATCCTGCAACTGATATTCCGTCATCGCGTGAGCACACGTTACTTTGCATTGAAATCAAGTGCAATCTGTGAATCATTTGACAAAAAAAGCTGTGGTGGAAATAGCTTTCGCACACTTCAATCATACTACCATCCTTCAACCCTTACACTTCACTTATTAAGCCAAGTTCTCCTGCTTATAATTGAAATGAACTTTTTTATCTATTTTTTCATTTTGGTTTTTCTTTAATTGCTTTATTGTGCTTACGTAATTCGTTGGTTATTTATAGATCTTGCCAACTGTAAATAGAAATGCAAAAATATATAAAAATTGATATAAATACAATACCTTTGCATTCTTTCTTCCAGTTTTATTTATATATGTATAATATATATACAATATATATGTATATATATATATAATGGGTGCACACTATGGTGATATTGGATATAAATCGCAAATGCTTTGTTTTATGTTCAAAGCTACTTATATACCACTGTACTGTAATTAAAGCTGAATTTGTGAAACATCTTATGGAAATCAAATGAATTTTTTTTTAAATATTATTTTTGATAACTATATCTCTGCGTTTTTTTTTCAAAATTGGAACTGTTATTTAAGAAAAACAAGTGCAATGGCAGTATTGCCCATCTGAAACTATAACATTTCCCAACTTTCTGCTAATTTCTTCTGTCCTATCTATCTAAAGAGTTGCGCCGGTATAAATCAAGCCAGATTTTGATACTTTCTTTTGATTTTGAACCGTACTCCAGTGATGGCGTTCTGCTTCGACAGAAACAAATGGTAATCAGAAGGAGCAAGGTCTGGGTTATAAGGCGGTTGTGGCAAATTTCCCAGCCGCTGTTTTTGAAATAGTTTTTAACCGGTTTCGCAACATGAGGCCGAGCGTTATCATGATGGCAAATTATTGCCTTGTATATAATCGCGAATTCCGTACGTTTTTCGGCAATAGCTCGCTTCAATTTGATGAGTTCTTGTCGGTAGCGTTCCCCATTATTAGTTTCTCCCGGTTTTAGAAGCTCATAATACGGCCACGCAGAGCATTGCTTTGGCGTCATGTATATTTGTCTTTACTGTTGATCTGGCTGTGTAGCCAAGTGTCGCATCTGATTTTTTCCGTTTAGGGCTGACGTAGTGGATCCATTTTTCATCACTAGTCACAACCTGTTGAAAAAAGACTTCTTTTTCTAACGTTTTAGCAGTATTTCTAACATGCAAAATCGTCTTTCATCCAGCATATAGCTGACAAACTGAACGATCAAAATCAATTCCTTGTTTGGAAGCTAACGATTATTTTGTTTTTGAATAATTTTTATAATACTAATTTAAGCTTTTGTTTACTTTCGCATTTCAAATACTTAATTGCGTTCTTCTTCTTATTACAGTTTGCCAACATGTCTAAGCCACTGACGAACACTTGTTGCTTCTGCCAATCTCTACGTAATGGATCCATTATATCGGGTCTTCTGGCAATCACGCTATCCATCATAACGATCGTTATTAGTTTGACATTACGCATCGATTTTAATACCATAGACTTTGATTGGCTGCCAAAGGATACTGTTAAGATTATATTAATTATAAATCTATGTATGACAATACTGATATCATTGCTCATGATTATTGGCGTAGTGAAGGTGAGTGACGGGCGTATATCAGTATACCACCAAAATATTTATAATCGTTTTTATTTTGCAGCGTAATCACTATTTGATGATGCCATGGGTTGTTTTAGGCATTATGATAGCCATTGGTTTACTAATATCGGTGATATATACTGCCGTGAAAGTATTCATTGACGGTTACGTGCTGACTGGTATACTGTGGCTAGTCTTCGGACTTCTCACAACAGGTAAGCGAAACATAGAATGCGCATAACAGGATCGAAGGTTAGGTTAATTGGATGCTGTAGGGTTTCTAGTTGCAAACTTAGATTTTTTTCGAACCGACAAGCCAATTTTAATGATATCCTAACACTTAAATGTAATCCCGTTTGTTAAGCGGTCAATTATATTTAATTTACTTTTAAATGCTGCTTAAACATAAAGGAGTTACAAAGTCAATCCAAGCAATGTCATTTCTTCTCCGTTTTGTTGATGAAGTCCCAATTATCTTTCGGTTCCCTGCTTGGAGCGTTCGGCAGGAAGTAAGCGTTCTTGGAGAACGCCCAGTCCATGATAGAGTATAACGGTAATATGCCGTAAATTCCGACTGCTTAAAAACTTCAGGAATACCATAACCGATAGATATAACAATGTGTATTTACTTAAGGCTAGTGTTTTCGATTATAGATATATATCAATCGATATACGCTGCAACAGAATTGAAGATAAAGTCCATAGATTAACGCAGAATGCCGCCTGATATCGTTCCATTTCTGAATCTCAATTTTGTGACGCCTAAAAGTATGCTATATATTTCGAATTTTTCTCTGAAATATTATTACGACATTATTTTTTATTATATAATATTTATCCACCCAGAAGTAAACGTCGGAGCCTATAAAATATAGCCATACATATGTATATATATCTGCGTGACAAGCTGAGTCGATTTAGCCATGTCCGTCTGTCTGTCCATCTGTCTGTATATATGTGAACTGGTTCCTCAGTTCTTGAGATATCGATCTAAAATTTTGCACATGTTCTTTTCTCTCCAAGAAGCTGCTCATTTGTCGGAACCGATATCAGTATCAAAATTAAGTTTTTGTATGGAAAACTTTTTCATTTCACGAGATAATTTCACCAAATTTGGATTATTTTTTAAGGTATCGGTGTAATCTCGGAAAAAATGGTTCAGATCGAACCACTATAGCATATAGCTGCCAAGTATTTGTGAATGGTATTTTAGCTTCGATGCAACCGACGTTAACGTATTTTTTTTTTGTTTTTATTGAAATTTTATTATATTTTCAAAAATAAATTTTTTAATTATCTCTTTTTAACAGCAATTCTCTCCTACTGCTGGTGCGTTGTTTACAGTGAATACGTGGTTTTGTTGCAGGAGAACGAAAGGGGACGTTACAACAAACAATTATACCGCCGTTAAGCGAGCAACGAAAACGATTAAATAAAATTAAAATATATTTAAAGAAATATAAAGGTGTGAAGCGACTTGTTTTTTTTTTTAACTGTGCAAAATATATCATACCATGGGCGTATGTATGTATGTGTGTACGGCAGCATTTGAAAAATCAGCCTAATTTTAAGCACAATGGCAATAATATGCACAGCATTTCAAATGGCAGAAACTTTATACTCGTTCTTCATTTTTTACCAAACTAATTACAATTTATTTGTAAATTGAAAGTTAATTTTATTAAAGAATAAAATTGTATTATACTTCATCCCACATTTTTCACTATCTGCCTACTCACCATACTTGCCTAATTTGTGTATTGTTAAACACTCTCTTTGCTCATCGTATGAATTTACTGAAATTAGTGCAAATTTTTTTTTAATTAACTCAAATTTCAATTTAAAAAGTACTATGTATGTAGATGTTAACTCATATATGTGCGCATTAATATGAAATATACTTTAAGCAACAAAATGTTTACTGTTGTGTGATTGCTGTATCGAATAAAGAAAAATAACAAATTTTTTAACAAAACTTGTGTTTTAAGTTGGTTTCTGTGTTTTATTTCATATACTGTCTTCATATATATTTCTTTTCACATTATCAACCCTTATTAGGCAAAAATCATAGATTTTTGTACTAAATTCTTCTAAAAAAATTGAAAAGCATTTAAGTAATGATAAATGTTCATGTGAGTAGAATTAATTATTCGCATATAAATTAAATTTATAATCATCCATTATTTTTTATAACTCATTGTGCGCATATTTCGGTTTCAGTTCTTCTATTCTCTTGATAAAGTCAGTTTTTTCAATGCAACCTTCGCAGCTTTCATCCCAATCGTTGAGGATTTTCTTCAGGTCACGAACCTTCAATTTTTTCAAGTCAACATTGTTCAAATCAATTTGTTTCTCTGCAAGTAAAACGAAAAACAAGTCATTTAAAATAATTTTAAAATATGATATGTTTGAATTTTATTTTTTACATATTTCAATTAGAAATACAGTATGTATTTGAAAAATTATTTAATTTGGGATATAATGTGTAGACAGACGTTGATAGAGGACGGAACGCAATAATCGCGTAAGGATGTATATATCAGCAACAAGTGTTTTTTATATTAAATAAGAATGAGAGTCGGGTCTTACTAAAAAGCTGATATCTTCTCAAATAAAAAGTTTCTATACAAGGTAGGATTTTAATCGTTTAGTTTGTATGGCAGATATACATATGGTATAGTGGTCCGATCTGCACAATTTCTTCAAAGTTTGCCTCTTTACGTTAAACAATAGCCGAATTTCGTGATGATATCTTGACAAATAAAAAATTTTCCATAAAATAACTTGCTTTTGATCGTTCAATGTGTATGGCAGCTATATACTATAGTGGTTCGATATCGACTGTTTCGACAAATGAGAAACTTCTTGGCGAGGAAATGATGTGCGCGAAATTTCAGATCGATATCTCCAAAATCTGAGGAACTAGTTCGCGTATATACAGCTCGTCACGCTGATCATTTATATATTTATTTTTATAGGGGCTTCGCCATTTCCTTTTGGGTGTAGTCGTTTCTGTTACCATTACAACAGTATTTAATTTACCATTGTGAATGGTGATATAAAATACACTTCTTTACTCATTTTCTAATATTTTTGCAACAGTTTGGTTTTTCCACAAACATTGTTTACTTAGAACCCATAAATGCTGGATTTTCATTATTATTTTCATTTATTTTAACTTACCATAACGTAAATCACAGATCTGTGCATCCTTCTTCTTAAGTTTTTCGCAGATCTTATCGGCAGGCATGGACCAGCTCAATGGCTTGCTTAGTTCATTCAAAATGCCAGTCGCTGATTCTTCCAGACCGCCCAAATAGTAACACTATAAGAATAAGCATATAATGTATACGCCCACAAAATAATACAATTGCTTTACTTACAAATCTGTGCTCTTTATTCTTTTGCTTTTTGCAAAAACTTTTAAATTCAGCTTCAATTTTTTTATGATCCTTCTTTGTGGCATCATCCAATGTATCAGCAAAACGTTTGACAGTCTTCACACAAACTGAAAATACCATATGTACATATAGAAACGTATTTAAATTGGCCTTGATAAAATATGTCCAATTGGAACACCACCCCTGCAAAACAACTTACCTTCACATTCGTCCTCCTTCAGCGCTATGCTGCTTTGAATTAGTACAAAGGCAAAGGCCATTACCAGTAAAAGGGAACGCATATTGGCTCACTACTTTATAGAATCTTTAGTTTACGAAATTTCTGGAAAGAAAACAAAGTGTGTTTAAACAGTTGCAGGGCAACAGATAGTTCCCAAATTCGGCAAGTTTATACGCAACGTAAGCGTTTTCTATCATAGAAAAGTGTGTGGCACACTTTTTTTCTACTTCTCGCTTCTTTCATTTTCTTATTTCGCTTATCAATACCGAATACAAATATCTTCAGCTAAATGTATTATTTGTAATATCTACTTACAACTAATTCACTTTAAACTTGTAATTTCCACTTTATTCTGTAAGTTGTATATTTAATAAATAATGAAAAGTCTTGTTTGAAAACCTAATTTGTCTGCTCACAAATTCTTAACCGGTGAAATTAAAATAAGGAGAATATTTTTTGACACTCACTTGTCGCTTTGTCATTGGCTGATGCTTGCTCATATGCGATTTTGTGATGACGTAGATTTATGAAACATGGCAATACCCAAATACCCAGCTGTTACACACCAGATATGTTACAAACATTTTTTTTTAAGTGAAATACGGGAAAATTTGCAAGAAAAAATTGTATAAATAGTAATAATTGTTTAAAAAGAATCTTACTACAATTAACCATACTATATACGTTCTTTGACCGTAATCTCTGAACATGAGTTCAGTTGATTCTTGTGCGATTAGCTATAAAGTTTACGCATACAACGCTGAAACATTCGAACTTGGATACGGATACGCATAGAAGTTGAAAACTTTTTACTTTCATGCGTTGGCTTGCGTAAACGCAATATATATAGATAGACACATTGTTGTCAATAGCAATGAATAAAAAATTGTTTTAGAATGAAAGGTTAATTCGTGTAAAACAAGGCCTATTATTATTATTATGTTTTAGAGACGAAAGAGTTATAATTATAATATGACATATAAAGAATATTCTGTCAAATTTAATAATATTAAAAAATATGTCAGCATTCACGGTGCTCCTCTTAATTCGATGCCGAACCATCAAAAAATCAAATTTATATAGTTTAGACAGTCGCTTTGCCAGGTAACGCTGGAGAATTTTCGTAACTATATTTTTTCACTTTTTAGGAACACATTGATGGAAAAAACCGTTTTTTGCGACATGGTGCTTAAATTTTCAAAACGATCGGTCAGTAGTTTTAGAGATATGAAGGGCACTGACTCTGAAAATTAGGGTTGTGAGTAAAACACTTAAAAGTTATAAACCATGAAACTTTAACTTATTGAAGACATAACAGAAAAACTTAAACAAAAAAAAAATTTAGAAACAAATTTAAAAACCCTACAACCCTCCTAATGTTTAACATATGCCTCAGTGAGCGCAACTAACAACGCACCATAGGGAGTTGCTGTAATATTACGCAGCGAATTGTTACGCATCATTTTTCGCATATTAAGTTATGGGGATACAGCTTTATTTGCAATAAGAATTGTTTCTAATATTACAGTAGATGTCGCCTTCCATCACATAAAAATCTATTCGCAATAGAAAAAGTTCAAAAGTGAAAGAACGCGCGTCGCGAATGTTTAAAACAGCTTAATATTTTTCGATAACTAAAATTTATTAAAAAATACCCGAAATGTGGTCTATTTTTGAGCAATCACAAATCGAGGATGAAACCATATCCAATGCATTTTCATCTCGTGGTATTTTTAAAATACAAAGCGCAGAAGAGGTGATAAAAGCACTAATATCTATGTACAAAAATTGTGTTTTGCTAATATTCTTTTGACTTTAGGTAAAAGAATATCCAGAAGTGATTGCCTCATTGCAAAATAGAAAGGTCGTCATTTCCGTGGATAGAAGTTTAATCTTACTCGACGATGAATTGGTTGCCAAATGTAGTTTTCTGAGCTTCGATGCTCACATTGATGCAGTAGCAATATCTAAAACAGGATATTTAATTGTGGTCGGTTTGCAGAATGGCGAGATACATGGAATATTTGTAAAAGGTTTGTTGATATTTAATTTAACCGTTATGTCAGAAGACATACATTTAACGGGGCGCACTTTCGCGGGTATACAACAACTGAATGGGAAGTTTTTCATAAGCTGTACAAATGGAAGTGTTTATCAGTAAGTATATTCATATATTATATATCATTTGGAAAGAATAGCTACATTTATACCATTTTACAGGCTCAGTGAAATCGACGAATCCCCATTAGAAGCAAACCAAAATATGTCACTGACAGAAAATGACACGATTACTTTTAATGAGAGCATGTTCGAAGCAGTGGCTATAACAAGGATCATGAACCATGAACCTGGTTTAAACAATTTGGAGGCAACGGTGTTGGTAGCGCAGAGCGGTTTCGACACAGCTGTAGAAGAAGGGTTACCACTTTATATAGCAGGCACACATAAGGAAGTTTACTGCAGACAAAATGGGAATATTTTCAAAATAAGTTTGCCTGAAAGTTTCAATGGTGTGAAACGCTTATTCAATTTAGATAATTATATGTGAGTATTTGTAACAAGCGGAAATTTGAATTTTATTAACGTATATAATGTATGTCGTCTTTTCAGTTTACTTTTAACATACTCCGGTCATTTAATAGAATTCTGTCCTATTACAAAAATGTTACACTTTCCTAAAATGCCAAACAACGACGAACTGCTTATTGATGAACTAGTCATTATGGAATGCAATGAGAATGATATTGAATTGCTCGTGCTGATCAAGTTGTCAGAGAAAAGACAAGAGCGCTGTATTAAATTTGTGGAGTATCCATGTAAGCAAATATTATATTTAACACACTTTTTTTTCATCACTTTTACAAAATATTTAATAATTTTTAACCAGCTTTTAAATGCAACAATGAGCTGGAAGTATCAGAACATGCATGGCTTGTGCAACAGCCAAAATCTTCCGCTAATTTATACTATCTCAGTGGTAAAGAAGTAAATGCAGATAACATACCAAAAGAGATTGAAATGATTCTGGTGTCGGAAACGCATCCTAGTGAACGTTTTAAGAAACTTCTATCAAAGGGGCTGTTAGATGAAGCTGAGGTTAGTGAAACAAATTTATTTACAATAAACAAAATATAAATTGTATATAATTTTGTAGAGTTTTGGCAAGCAGTTTGAACTGTGTTTGCAACCGCTTTATGAGGCAAAAGCTAAACGTATACTACTGACGATTACGTCCTTCGGCGATGTAAGTAGTAAAAGTCGTAAGATTTTTTTTTTTACAGTTTTTTCAATATACATTTTATCTTTATTATAGAATAACCCAGAGTTACTAGAACAAAATTTCAATGACTTACTGGGCGTGCTAAAAAATATTGAGAACAGAGAATTTTTTAAGAACAATCGCATGATTAATATGCCTTCGCGCCGAACTTTGGAGCGTTATTTGCTGGAAATGCTGAAACATTTAGACGAAGTATGTATAGCATGCTCAGAAATATATATATATATAGTTTTTTATTTAATAATTTTTTTTCCATCTGTAGAACGATGAAAGGGATTGGTTAGAAATACATGAACAGTTGCGACGTTTAGAAACGCTCACAATTCTGGATCCCTATGAGATAAATTCAGAATGGTCGAAATTCGTATACGAAGCAAATCTCTCCAAAATGATTGTAGCATTATTTAAAACCGATATGCCAGCGGCATGTTTGATTTATAAACGACATACCAGCGCTATGAAATATTTAAAAGAATCGGAACTACGACAACTACTCAGTCTTATACCGAATCACACAGAACCATTTCACGTGTTGCAATTTCTGCGTCATTTTGTGCCTACCGTCAGCAATACACATCCAAAATTGACACCCTACATTGCTGAATGGTGTATACAAAAGACGCGCACATTACAATATGCGGACCATTGGCCAGAGATTGGTTTGGAATTTGCCAGCAAAGTGGCGAAGATATTCGAAGAAATAGAATTCATGCACTGGTAGGCATCTAAGCTGAATTATAAACATTTTATTTGCAACATTTGCATCATTAACTTCTTAAATATTTCTCTCCTTCACTAACTCTTCTCTCGCTCCTAGCGACGTTCGCCGTCAACACGAACACAATATTGTTAAATTTCGAGATTTGGTGAATGCATTGGAGGATTTGTCGGTGTTGAAAAAGCGCTATAATTTAATGTTTACACTAGATAGTTATTTAAAAGACTCGGTGGATGAGACAGCATTATATATACTCCAACGCGTGCATTTGGTTGATTTGAAAAGTCTGGTTAATGATTTTCTCTATCCCATATTTCAAGAGAAAGGTAAAACTCCAGTGGACGCAATACGTCAGTATATCACACTTTTGGTAGTCAATCGTAACTCGCTGAGCAGCTGGCTTGAACGGTCGGTGGCCTGCATTGAACTGCTACATAACGAGGATGATAGAATGGAGTGCGCTTTAGTTGTATTAAAAGTATGAACGAGAACTTTTGGCGCAAATACACATTATATATTTCATACATTCATTTTTATCATATAGAGCGCGCCCGTGCCCTGGTCGGATGTTGTAAATCCGCTTATAAAATTTCGCTATTCTACGCACCCAATAGCAACTAAAATAAATATAGAATATGAATTTCAAGTTATAAAAATTATGAAAGTAAAATATGGCTGGCCAGCGGACAGTGATGTAGACGCAAATATGCAACTTTTTGTGCAGCGTGTGATTAAAATGGAATTCCCCGAAATGTTGGATGACATACGTGTACTTACGAAAGCATCACCGGAGCATGCCACATTTGCCAATTTCATTTGTTGTTATCAATTAGTGCGCAAAAAGAAGCTTGATCGCGCCTACGCATTTTTCAAATCACTAAGTGGTGAAAAACACAACAAAGCCTCCATGGAAGTCATCGATATTTTAGCAGTTAGTGTGATAACATATTATTGTATCAAAGCAACTTTATTTATATTTCATCAACTTTTTTTTTTGTTGTTGTTTTGTTTTGTTGTTTTTGGCATGCAACTATAGAGTATGCTCGAGAACCCCACTGCACCCATCGATGATGAGGATGTGGAGAAGAAAAAGAATTTAATTGAATTTTTCCAATTGATTGTGCCACATGCCAATTGTCGCAGCTTTGAGAAGCGTCTGCGCGCCATACAACACCGTTTTGTACTCTGCCACAAGTTTCGTCTGCATGTCGGCGGCGTCAGTGAATTGGTACCACTGACACAACGTTTGCAGCTTCTCGATCGCGGCATTGAATGTATAATGGATCGTAGTCAGGCAACGGTAAATGTGCCGCGTTTCATTGTTAGCGAAGTAGCAGATTTATGTGCAGCCCTACAGCTGGAAAGAGTTTATGGTGTCTTGCATATAAGTCGGCGTATACACTGTCTGCCGCTCACTAGCGCCTTAGCTTATGCTATACTTCAACTGGTAGATTGTACGCCGCAAAATAAGGATGACTTCATTGGCTTAGCCTTAGAGTTGCTAACACAGCAGATCTTGGCATTGCGTAATTGTAAAGGTGAGTGAGAAAAGTGTTGCTTGAATTGTCCAAATCGAACCAAAACCGTAATATGTGGAGCGCAGTATATTTAGTTAACTTTTTACCGAAATTATTGGTCAATGTGTGAGATTTATAATTGAAAGTCAGAGAGAATTCTTTCTTGATAATAGTATGTGTCTATATCAATACTTTCTGTAGCCCCCATATACCTAATATAAAGATTTTTGAGTTTCCGGGTGACTTTATACCGCATATTTCGGCCGATATGTGAGTTATCTCAATGAAAATTGAATCGCGTGTTTTAATCATAACAGTGTTTTTTTTTTTGTTTAAAATGAGTGAAATTGGGCGCTCCCATATAAATAATATCAGGATTTTCGAACAAACGGCTCACTTTACTCCATATGATTGGTGATGGTATGTGAGGTACCTTATTGAAACTCGGGTAGCATTTTATTGGTCTGTGGCATGTTAGTAGTATGTG